TGCATAATTCCAAACAGAAAACAAAAAATGAAAAAAAAAACTGCAACTGGCTCACCAGCTGAGCAATCAAGCGTGACCTTAACAAGCTGCAGCTAATGTACATAAACAGTTGAAAAAAGTGTGTATAGTCAACCAAGCTAGTTCAAGATTGTACAGTAACAAAAATAGTACGATTAACTACCACTAATAACAACTCATTAGTATAACTTGTTGTTCGTTATCAAAATAACCAACTGTTCATTAACAACTTATAGGCTCAATGAACAAACGAAAAGAAGAAAAAGTTAACTCATCGGTTTTAATTTCCTACTTTTCTCACTCCCTCCTTATTTTATACTAAAAATTTATTCAAGCAATAAGATTGCAGACTGCAACGAAAAAGTATAACCATCTTGCCAAACCAATATTTTCATAAACGTTTAATTACGTTAATAGTAGCCTAAATACCAATCCCCCTCCTTTATTCAAAATCATTAATACTACTGCAATGGACAACTAAGCCGACCAGCTCGACCAATGTCCAATTAATTTAACCAAGTTTTACTCTGCCGATAACAAGAAATGTTAACAGTTCTAGAAATGAAACGCACTCCACTGGCGTCACCTTCTGTAAAGCGAGCCTTGAGGACTTAACTCGTCGCCACTACTGTCGTCATTGCCGGAAGAACCGTTTAGTCTGTGTGTATTTGTCTTTAAGTGTGTTCGTGTGCTGAACGAAATTTTTTTGCCGCCAGCTATGTTTGCGGTTGATGACGGAACGGATTACGAATTTTTTGAAAAGGTAACGGACGAATTTTACTCGAAAAAATTCATCTGGCTACAAATTGGACCTGTATTATGAGTTTGTCGATGTGTCTGCACGTCTGTGCTCTGCTTTTCTGTCTACATATTTCATCAATTTTCTTTCCCTTTTGCTTTTTTTTCCTCCCTCCTTCAGTCTCCCGCCGCAACCCCGTCTGTTCCCCCCCCCCTTCCCTCCCCGTTTCCTCCACAATGTTGTCGTATAGTAGTTCTGATGTTTATTTATTTGTAAACTGCCGCTGGGAACTAAACCTTAAATTGGTGTGTCAGTTCAATCTGTTTGTCTCTGTGTTTGTGTAGGTTGTGACCATCTTTGGTTGATAATTTTGGATTTAGCAAGAAGAAAGAAGTAAAAAAAAATACTTGAGTTGTTCTGGTCAACAAATCGCTGGTCAACAGGGACAACAAATTTGACTAACCTCTGAAATTGTTGTGTTGGTCTCGAGACGCTTGTCCTGTCGGTGAATCAGTTGTTGTTTTTATACTCGAAAGCCACTTGCTGCTGCCGTTGCTGCTACTACTACTCTACGCCATTTTCTATGCATATACACATCAGTGGCCATTCCTTTGTTTTTGTTTTTTCTTTTACGCCCTATCGATTATACCAGTGCTTATCGTACTTTATGTATATTAGAGTTATAAGTTGACAGTAGTAGTAGTAGTAGTCGTTGTTTTACTGATTTTGACCGAGATAAGTGTTCAACAATGTATCAAGCTTATCATTTTGATATTAGAATGGTAATACAGCGTTTATAAATACTTCTATCATTACAGTTGTGTATATATACAGTTGCTAGATATACATATTTTTTTTTTTGTATTTCGTTCCGCAATCTTCCTGCTGCTTCCCTGTCTGAACTTGCTGGAATTATTATACATTTGTTGGAATGTTTTAATATTTTGCTGTGAAATTGTCTAGAAGCTTGTTCTTCACTGTTATGTTCTCAGTTTTTAGATGTTATTACTTTCCTTAAGTATGCAAAGCTGGAAGCTGTGAGGAATGTCTTTTTATTTTGGTGAGAACAGCATAAGAACTTCTAAGTGTTAAAAAATATCAAAAAATTAATTAGATTATTGGAAGCCATAAATGTTTTTTTTTTATTTTTTTCTACCTTCTGAATCGGTTGTCGTTTTAGTTTTCAGCTGCTAATTTCGTGTGCCTGTTTTCAGTTCCTTCTTGCTGGTTATGTATTATGTATTATACTATACTTTGTATATAATATATAATATATAATATACAATATGTAATACATAATATATAATGTATGATATATAATATATGTATAATATATAATATATTATGTATTATACATGTAATATATAGTGTATTAAATATAAATAACATATAATATGTAATATATTATACATTGTATATTATATACTATTTATTATATATTATGTATAT